ACCTATACCATTTCAGACAAGTGACTGTCCAGTCTCTTCTTAAAAACCTCCAGTGATGGAGCGCCCACAATTTCTGAAGGCAAGCTATTCCACTGGTTAATTGTCCTGACTATTAGGAAATTTCTCTTTAATTCCAGGTTGCTTCTCTCATCAGTTTCCAACCATTGTTTCTTGTACTGCCCTCTGGTACTTTGGAGAATAGTTTGACACTCTCTTCTTTGTGGCAGCCCCTCAAATACTGGAATAGTGCTATCATGTCGCCCCTGTCCTTGGCTGCGCTGCTCCAGGCAGGCCGTGCCTGGGTGACTCTCCTCTGGGGGGGGCTGCTGGTGTAGAGGGGACTGCGTGGGGAGGCAGGGCTGGGGCAACGGCACGTGTGCCCACAGAGAGAGCTCCGAGTGCCACCTCTGGCACTCGTGCCATAGGTTCGCCACCACTGATATAGGTGGTACTCAATAGCAGTAACTGTCAGAGGGATCTTGGAGTCCTAGTGGACAATCACTTAAATATGAGCCAACAGTGTGCTGCAGTTGCCAAAAAAGCCAACACAATTCTAGGCTGCATTAACAGAGTGATAGAATCAAGATCATGTGAGGTGTTAATACCAGTGCCTTGGTAAGGCCACACTTGGAATTCTGCATCCAGTTTTGGTCACACAATGTAAAGATGTTGAGACTCCAGAAAGAGTGCAGAAAAGAGCAACAAAGATGATCAGGGGACTGGAAACTAAAACATATAAAGAATGGTTGCTGGAATTGTGTATGTCCAGTTTAATGAAAAGGAGTAGGAGTGACATGATAGTATATTCCAGTATCTCAGGGGTTGCCACAAAGAAGAGGGAGTCAAGCTATTCTCCAAAACACCTGAGGGCAGGACAAGAAGTAATGGATGGAAACTAATCAAGGAGAGAAGCAATCTAGAACTAAGAAGAAATTTCCTGACAGTTAGAACAATTAATCAGTGGAACAACTTGCCTCCAGAAGTTTGAATGCTCAAACACTAGAGGTTTTAAGAAGAGACTGGATAACCAGTTGTCTGAAATGGTATAGGGTTTCCTGCCTGAGCAGGGGGTTGGACTAGAAGACCTCTAAGGTCCCTTCCAACTCTGTTATTCTATTATTCTAAAGAACAAAATCTGGAATACTTGAAAATCTCTATGTGAAATATAAAAGCTTGACTTTTGCTTTTTGTAAAATTAGTAATTCATCATCATTCAGTACTGTATTTAATTGTGAAGCCCTTTTGAAAAGAGTTTGCAAATTTTGTTCCTTAAGGAAGCACTATGCTATGTCACTAATAGTACAACACTGGGAGTAGGTAACAGTCAATAGCAACCCACATATTGTTGACCTACAATGGTGACCAATCCAACAAATATAACTAAAATGCTGGTAGTAGCAGTTCAGCAACATTCAGAATGCCACACATTGTCTATACTGTACTATGCTTTTCACAACATACATTCATTGTAATAAATAAAAATGCTGGAGGATGAAGGTCAAGGGAATAAGACAGAACTGCTGGGGGAGGAGAAAGATTAGGTAAAGGCAAAATATGCCACAGAGAGCCTCTGCTTTAGAGTCCTCATTAGGTGTGACATATTGCAAGGAATTCAGAAGCATACATTCTTTGCCAGGGCTTCTATCCTGTGGGACTACAAGTAGTCTTCAAATTACAACCATTCATTTAGTGACCATTCAAAGTTACAACAGCAATGAAAAAAGTGATTATTGACCATTTTTCACACTTACAATCATTGCAGCACCCTAATGGTCAGGTGATCAACATTCGGATGCTTGTCAACTGGCTCATATTTATGATGGTGGCAGCAAAGTCAATGGGGGAGCCAGATTCACTTAACAACCATGTTACAAACTTAACTAAAGCGATTCACTTAACAATGGTGGCAAGAAAGGTCATAAAATGGTGTAAAATTTACTTAACAACTGTCTCAGTAAGAAATTTTTTGGCTCAATTGTAGTTGTAAGTCAAGGACTACCTGTAGTTACCTGAGAAATAAAATCCCCATTCTTACTGTTAATATTCAGAAAAGTTACTAAAAGTACAGTACTTGGGATATATGAGGGCTGCTTCTTTTATTTTGTTAACTGTTACTATTGTTATCAATTATCTATGGGTGTGGGGTGTGTGTATTGTTCAAGAGTATTGTTGTCAATAAGGGCATATTGCTTACATGCACTTTAATTGGTATGAAAGCACTTATAATAAATAAATAAAAGTGTAAGATCCAGGAACATAATTTATGCATGGATGAATTAAATGCTGAGGTACAAACAGAAATGAAGTCATGAAGTCTGTGCAAGATAGAGAACAGGAAATAACTTAGTTACCATGACAATACAGGTGTTTCTCCACTTTCATGTTAAAGAAAGCAAGTTCAGCACTGCTTAAGTTTAAGGAAATTCCATTAGATAAAATGTTGAAATGGTTCTATGTTGCTAAGTGAATTCTTTTAAAAATACAAGCATCCAAAGAATGGTGGCCAGTGTATAGACGTAATCACACATCATATTAATCTAACATATCCGCTGCATTAGGTAAGCATTTGGCAATACAAATGTACAAGGTGACTTGTACAGAAGAATTAAAAGCATTGTTCTATTCTACAAAAGCAAACTGAAATCAAATTGCACAAATATTGGAGTTTCAGGGAAAAGGCAGCCAAGAAACCTAAAGAACTATCCTGTTTACTAAAATCCATTGTTAAATATTACTTGTAATAAGAACTTAAGTTCTCCAAAGACTGCACCCTTGCCTGTAATATTTCCTCAGATAATGACAATTTATGTACCTGTGCCAAATTTAACTTGAAAAATGCATTTTGAGCAGGCATTATCACAATAAAATTTTAACTGCTAATCTAAAACAGTTTTCAGTTTGTAACCTGTCATATGAGGAAAAAATACAAACATAATCGACCTGTATTTAAAATAAACTAACAAGTGTTTTACTCCAAAACAACCAGATTCAGTTGTCTATATGCTTACTTAAAAGTCTTTATAGAGAGATAAATTTAAATACTAAACAGACTGCATAGATGGATACACAAAAATATTTTCTTTCTTGAAGCTGACCTATTTATTAAAAAATAATTCTAACATATTAGATATTATCAGAACGCTTCCATTAACAACTGAAGACCAACTACAGTCAAATGCAAATTTCATTTGTTATCTTGGGAACAGGCATGTGACAAATCTCTACTCAATAAGCAGGCATCATAGTTCTGTTTTGTCCAGGGAAAAAACAGCTTTTAAAATTCTTGACTCATCATCTCTCATATCAGACTTGTACACACTCACAACTAGTTAAAAATATAACAGCACCAACAATTAGGTGTGGCTTTAAGATTGTTTTTAAAGTTTTTCTTTTTAAATAGAGTTTTAATAAACTTTTATCCATTGAGCTTTCCAATAAAATATGTTTTCAATATTTTGAAAGAACCTCTTAAAATTAACTTTAAAAATGCAGTATATTTAAACAAAGTCTATGTTTTGTTGAAGTATATATATTAGGGATAGTATTTTGAACATATTGTTTTCAATGTTTATCTCCTCACACAAGTAATCAGTGTAGAAATCAATTGAGTTGTCAAAATTTATTTTAAAAATAAATGTACTCATGAAACTCTTCAGCAGGAGCTGACCTTGGATACTTTCACAAAACCAGTTCTTATTTCTCGCATACTGAATTATTTCCTTGATAATATTTTTAAGTGTCTAAAAGATCCTGATATACTTCCTACCGATCCTAATCTGAGATTTCTAAAACGGAATAAAAATCCTGTTGTGTGCACTTTCTTACATCATGCTTCTATGGAAATTAGAGTACAGTACATAAAAAGGGGTGGTAATATTGGGGATCAGCCAGGTAATACAGTCCTCAACTTACAACAGTTTGTTTAGTGACTGCTCAGTTACAATGCACCGAAAAAAGTGACTTATGACCGTTTTTCACGCTTACCACCATTGCAGCATCCCCATAGTCACATGATTAAAATTCAGACATTTGGCAACTGACTCATATTTAGGATGGTTGCAGTGTCCTGGGGTCACATGATCCTCTTTTGCAACCTTCTGACAAGCAAAATACATGGGGAAGCCTTAACAACTGTGTCACTAACTTAACAACTGCAGTGATTCACTTAACAACTGTAGCAAGAAATGTTGTAAAATGGGGCAAGAGTCACTTAACAAATGTCTGACTTAGCCACAGAAATGTTGGGCTCAACTGTGGTTATAGGTCGAGGACTACCTGTATTGGAAAAAAGTGCCGGGGAGGGAGTCAGGAAGTGCTAGTTGGGGAATCACTGAAAGGAAACACAAGGTTGATCCGGGGACAAGGCCTGTAACAAGAACGGCAATGCCTCCAAAGCGAAGGAAGGAAAAAACCGGGGGGGGGGGGGAATGGGGGGCGGGGTGCGTGGAGAATCACGACCACGGGGCCAGTGGAGGAAGTGGTAAAGCCAGGGCACCGAGCCCTTCTCTTACAACACGAAACCCCTTCTTCGCCGGGTGGAAACGACTACGACTGGCAATTTTGCAGGCATTAATTAAAGACGTGGAGTCAGGTAGAAGTCGATTCATTGCCTCCCGAGAACGACCGAGACCCCCCCCCCCCAGAGGCAAGGTCACTTTTTAATCCAAAAGGCAATTCTAGGCTAAATCCAGACCTCCCCTCCACCCCAACGCGCCGGCACACTGTGTAGGCGAAGGAAAGGGGGACCTCTTTCCCGGGAAGCCGCCGGGTCTCTCACCTCGGGAAGGGGCGGAGTTTCCCCTCGGCGAGGATGGAGGCGTCCGCAGGGCTTAAGATGGGGGGGAGTGTTGGGGCATGAGTGCATGTTGAAGGGGGGGGGCGGCGGCGGCGGGGGAAGCGGCCAGCAACAACAACACAACCTCTCCGCCTCCCGGGGCGGAAAAAAAGCGGGGAAGGGGGGGGGGACGTCAGGGAAAACAACCTTTCTCGTATTTTCTCACCTCAGTGGGGGGACTGATCTCAAACAGGTCCAGCCGGTTCGCGTTCCAGTGGTTAATGATATCGGCCAGCTTGCGCCGTTCCTCCTCGCGGCTACCTCCTCCTCCACCGCCACCACCACCACCGCCCGACATCCTTCTCGGCCGTCCTCCGGGTTTCTCGCAGCCACCGATACGATGGGAGGGCCCGTGACGGCCCGGGCACGGAGTTCCCGGTGAATATGTGTTTTTTTTTCCTGCCCCCCCCCAAAAAAGCCGGATGGCGGGGTATGTGTGTGTGTGTGTGTGTGGAGGAGGGCAGGCAGTAGGGCAGCCAGTCCTCTGGTGCCGCTCCTCGCCGAGCAAATCCTCCCTTCTTCTCGAAGCCCAGACTTTGCCCCTTGGCTTCAGCGCAGGCACCGAGCGGCTGTAGGTTCGGTGGCAGCGCTTCCTGTTCGGCAGCGTCTCTCCTTTGCCTCACGGAATAACAACGCCGCCGCCTCTCTCCCCGCCCCGGTTGTCTCCTTTCCTTCCTCCCCGCCTTTTCTCACAGAGAGAGAGAGACACCGTTTCGTGCGCGCGGCCGCTCCGCCGTTCTCTCACGAGCGCGTCACAAACGCCGCTCACCTCCTCTCCCCCTCCCCCCACTCGGTCCTTTGCGCGCGCACCTCCAGGCAAGCATCCGCGCGCCGATGTCAGGTCAAGAGCGGGCGAGGGCGCGCTGGGAAAGCAGCTGAACGCGTCTCGCTCCCACCTCTTTTCCCTCCCAAAGCGTCTGGCTGCGTGTCTATGTAAGAGGAGAAATTAGCACTTGAGGGCGTTGAGTTTGAATCCGCGTGGACAGGGAGAGTCGCGCGGTAGCCAGGCAAAGCTGCGGGAACAATGAAGGGAGGCGACTGGAAGGGGCTGGGTCTGCATGGAGGACGAGGTTTGCGGATAAGAAACACTGGGAGTTACGTTCGGGTTTATTTTGTTTTCAGTTGCTCAGTTTCAAAAACCCGAAAGGGCGGCTGCAAACAACCTGCGATGAGTCGCCGAAGAATAAAACACCCACAATGCGGAGAACAGGACGTGCTAGACCCGTGTTTATAAGTAGTCTTTTCACTGTGCTGGAACCTTGTTCGGAGTTGGGCAAGTCTCCATATCCTATTTCCATTTTTCTACCAAAAAAAAAAAAGTCTGGTTTGGAATAGACCATGGAATGAATTTTCTTGGCAACAATCCTCACTACACCTGTCCGATTAATCTGGTTGAATTTAGTGAGGTCTTTGCTGAATGCATGCTTTTAATGTCACAGGATTAAATTCCATTGAACTCGAATAGATCGGGGAACTTTTGACCGTCACTGATGTTACTTTTTTCTCTTGATCAAGCCTGTCCTTCCTAAAACAGCAGAAAGAATTTCAGAGAAAATATAAAAAATATCCTACATGAAAAAAATACGCAATTTTGGAATGAGATTATTATAAAGTGTAGTTCCTATTTCTGTAAAATGGGGGTAATACAACTTAACTTTATTACGTGAGTAAATGAGCTTGGTCTACACAGTGGAAAATACTCCAGATTTCCTAATATACATGGAATAATCTGATTGGGTATTTCAAGTTGATTAATTTCAAAAAGCTTACCGTGGAAAACAAAGATAGGCAGCAGGTGCCTTGGGCCAAAAAAACCCTGAATAAAGTTTTATGTTCACAGATGCACAAGCAATATAATATAAAAAGCAGCTGAGGGACAGACTTGTTTGAAGTTACATACATTCTTATCCATTAGGTACCTAAAAGATGAGGATGTATGTAAGCAAGATGATGTACATGCCCATCCTCTAGTCTAGGCAGGTTTGTAGAATGATTGTCACCTTAAAGAGTAAATGAGAGTAGAGAAACCTATTGTCACTTGTACACAATTTAATTATTTACATTTGTTTAGAGAGGATGGATTGAAAGTCCAAATGATTAAATTGCTTACTAGAGTAATCAGTTGGACCATCACTGCACAGATGGTATGTTTAAGTTAACTATGATCCTTTCTTAGAAGTATGACTTGGAATTCTGAGTTCCAGTCACTTCTGTCATTATTCTGAGCCTATATCTTTAAATACTCAGTAATTAAAGTCTGTTGATATAAAGGCAGGTTAACCAAATGCCAACTCATTCATTAATTTGATTATTTGATTGTTATCAAATTAATAAAATGGTTATACAAATATAGAAAAGTTAATGGATTTTTCTAAGCAAAAAAAAAAAACACTGGCCAAATGCCAGTAATGCTTGTATTTCCAAAGAGTTCCATCTGTGCACCAATTGTTCATCAATTAATAATGAATTTAATTCTATTTTATTGTGACTCGGAGAAATGTATATGTTTTTTCCAGTGTTCTACATTTTTTCCTGTGAATTTATGTTGCAATTATAAACTTTAAAATTACGTGTTCCGGGGTATGGAGATCTATAATGCATTGATATTGGAAAGCTTTAAAAATAATTTTTGAATAGTAAAACTGTCAAAAATTAACATTTTTTACTTTTTATCCTGAAAGCTTTTTACACACTCAGTGAAGTGCAAGGAATTCATTTATGGATGCACAGAATTTATTTCCATTTTCTTGATAATTGTCCTTTTGTCTTCTGTTAAGGTTGTGCTTCTGATAGTGACCCATTTCTTTCCCATAAAATAAATGCTAGGTCATTATCTTAAAAAGACTTTTCATAGATCCCCTCCTGTACTGGAGTGTAAAACTAGACAGATTTTTTTTTAATTGGGCAAAGTAGCTGCAAAGATCTGATACCAAGATGAAATCCAATAATTGAAAGAAACTGTGTTTGACAGGGTATCATAGAGACTACTTACCTATAACGTTGATAAGAGTCATAAATGGTTAAAAAAAATAACAGTGGCAAAGGTACCTCACCAGTGAATCTTCTACCTTCTTTCTCATCCAAATATATTTGAAGATGTTGGGGTTTTATTTAGTGGTATCAAAACAGGTAATATTCAGTATTGTTTTGACTGCATTGTTGCTTGATATGATTAAGTGTTTTCACTGTATTTTTAATCATATGTAAGGTACATCAAACTCCCTCTGACTCAAAGCTGAATAAATTGGTTCCACTGCAACCCTCCACATGAGTCAGGGCAGGGGAGAGTTTTGCCTGAGGGCTATGCATAAGAACTTGGCATGTGCCTTTGAAGAGGCCACAACAAGGTATTTACCATGTATTTTCACATACCCAGCCAGAATGAAAGAGTTCAAATGAATCACATTCATATAATAGCTAGATACCTACGCTGTTATCAGCATACGCTACTACTAGTTCCAGCTAAATGCTAGTGGTGTGCACCTTATCTTTGTATTTACCCTTGTTATGACTGTATTTTCTCTCAGATTCCTGGAAAGTAAGGAAAATCTAAGCTTAGAAATGACAACTTTGCACATGATGGCAATCAGAACAAGGAGAAAAAAGCAAGGCCTTACCACTTTAAATGCAGCAGAGAAAAGATTCTTATATTCACTATTGCTTGAAAGTCAAAAAGTCTATATTGATTTCCTCAAATCCCATAAGAGTTCCTTGTGATCTAATTAATTTCCTCTTTTCAATTGTACAGGAAAATTAAATGTTTGCTGAATACTACGAAGTAGTTAAAATTGTATTTGATCTGGGATGAGATTAGTCAGAAATCCTTTACCAATGAATGTATTCTAATTATATTTTAAACCTTTAGTAACAGTTCTGCAAATAAAGTCACTCTTAGAAACTGAGATGTTTATCACTTTGTCTCTTTTATTTTTCTTAAAATGAATGTTCAAATAATTAATAGGACATTGTCAAAGGAAGAGCATAGTTGTGCTTTATCTTTTAACCCTAGTTATGTACTTATACATTGACAGGAATTGAATGGTAATAGGAAATTATATTGATAGACATTAGCAGTATCTACAGTAATAGACTCTTGCAGCAATTTTGCCTATAATAAAATAATCTACTAGAGCTATGCTATCTTAAAAACACCTGTATTTGTTTCAGTGCTGAGGAAAGGGTTCTACAATAAAAGTAGAATTTCATAAAATGTATCTAGATTACCTCCCCCCAAAATGATGAAGTAACAATATTTATTGTTAAAATGAGCATGCTCCAACATACTGAAAAGCTCTAAGTTGATCAATTGTGATCAATCACAACCACTTAAAACCACCATTCCCTTCAGGTTTTTGGTGAGCAGTAGCTGGGGCGGGGGAGGGAGGGAGGGAGCTAGATAGCTTTTTGGAACAAAATGGTATATGGCAGAGGTGTCAAACTGCCGGCCCGCGGGCCAGTTTCGTCACACCAGAGCCACGCTCACCCCATTGCCGGCAATGGCAAGAAAGCTCTGATATGTTGCGCGACGTCACATGACGTCGTGAGTTTGACATGTCTGGTATATGGTATGGAGGATTCTAATAGATAAAATTACAGGGGGGGGGAGCCCTGATTTACTCACAGAGATGGTTGAATTTTCTTTGAACAATTGTGGTTTCTACAATAAAAACTCAGAGGAAGTGTTAATAACTGTGTTAGAAAGTTCAATTCAAATAATAGATGTATCTGAAATTATTAAAACCAATACAAACACAAGCCAAGGAGCTGTCATTATTATTTACACATGTATTTATTTAATCAATTATTCCAGTATGTTTTTAATAAACACTATTTTGCATAGGCCAGGTAAAATCATATTTAAAATACTGTTATCTTTAGCCAGAGGTATTGGATTTGTAGAATACAATATGTATTATTTTTTTCTCCTTGTTGAGAAAAATGTGATGGATTGATAATGGGTAAAATGATCTACTTTCTGGACCACTAACTGGTCCAAAATGTAGATTTTAAAAAATTCTAGCACCCAGGAACATATTTTCCGTGCCATTTAAGTCATGATGCAAATTTTTTGTCAGTCTAAATCAGACTAAATGTTGCAAGTGAGGAATGCTGATATGTAGAATTTTAGCTGACATCAAAATTTAGGTGTCTGGATCACTGAATTATAGGCCTTTAATACTATATTCTAAATCTACCTTTGCAAAACAAAACAGAAAAGAACAGAAACAACCATACCAGTTGTGAAACGGGTTTTTCTGGAATAAATTTAGCAGTATGCCTAA